ATATTCTGTTATTGTTATGTGTGGTGAAGTTGTAATTGTCCCGTACCTGAACTTCCATTGGATTTAGATGCAGTAAATCGCATTGTCCATCTTTCTCCCACAGAGCAGCTGGTGGATTTGAACTGTATGCCTTTGGATTTGAAGTGCAGTTCCTTACCACTGCTGCTGTTATTATATACCATTGAGTCAAATAGTACTCATGATGACCATATGAACAATAGCTCTGAACCCTCTGCCCTGTTCTGAGCGCACTGAACCATCTCTGGCCCACTGACCCCATTGGCAATCACCCTGTCAGTCCATTACATCCTGGATCTTCCTCTTTTGTGATGACTTTCTTCTCTTCCAAGCATGATGGCCTTCTCCAAGGACTGGTTCCTCCTGAGGGCATGACAAAAGTAAATGAGACAGAACTTCAAATGTCTTGGCTCCAAGAAGCAAACTTGTTACATCCTCTCCCCAAAACAGATGTATTTGTTCTCTTAGCATTCCATAGTTCAATATCTTAAACCAGCACTAAGATTCAAGAGCATCAATTCTTCTTCTGGCAACTTTAGTCATTGTCTAGCTCTCACAGGCATAGCAAATAATTGAGAAAAGCATGACCTGGATCAGTTGTACTTAGTCTGTAAACTGACATAACTGCTCTAAAATAAATTGGTGTAATAAGAAGAATTCGCAGTGAAGTTTGATAATTCCACATTACTAAAAGTGACATATGATACATTAGGTTAAATATATGCAAAAGCATCTTTAGGAAAAGAATATCACCCAGAAATGAAAGTATGTGGACTTGTTAATGATTAATTCCTTTACCAAAACACAAGAAACCACTTGTCAGTAGCCATCTGAATGTGGCCTTCTAAATATTTAGCAGATATAATTGAAGTCTGTCAATGGGCCTACTTCACTTCCAAGAAAGGAGAGTGTGTGACTGTAGTGAAGTCACTCAAGTACAAGTGACTTAAGTGGCATTATGAATTAAGTTTTAATTACTTGTAATATTAGAACATGTGTTCAGGTGACACTGTGAAATCTACTTACATCCCAATCAGACAGGCCACTCTCCAACTAACCCACCAAATGATAATGATCCACTCATGTTAGCATGGTGGTAAAGCAAAAGATTTTACAATGCAATAGAACTTACTGTGATTATAGACCTACGCTAGAATTTATGTTGTTGTTGTTGTTGTTATGTGCCGTCGAGTCGTTTCCGACTCATAGCGACCCTATGCACAACAGTCCTAAACCCTGCTCTATCCTGCGCCAACC